TGTAACTTATGAGTTTAATAGAGTAATAAAATGAAGACTCTTCGTTTTTCTAACTCTTGTGTTCTTTTAATGGTTTTTAATCCAAGTGACTTTTGGTTTTCCATAACTTGAGGACAAGTTATGGACTCCATTAAAACACATTATGATCAAAATTAATCTACCACCTAGGTTACAAATAATTCCTATGATCATCTAAACATCATAAGAACAAGAACATGAATATGAACACTTTCATGAGTCAAAATCACACTTAAACTTTGTAATTTTGATAACTAGTTGTTGTAAATGAATTAGCAATGACATTACACAATCTAAAACAAGTTTTCAAGTACCAAAACAGTTTAGGGTAATGTTTCTAATCCATTTCCAGGAACTAAAGTCGAAAATTTGCACTCTGTCGACCCTACTCGCCGAGTGCATGAACCTACTCGACGAGTAGGTTGAAGATACAAGTGAACTCGATGAGTTCCCCCATGGACTCGTCGAGTCCAGCAGTCAGACAGCAAGTTTTTCGACTTTTTCCAAAATATTGCAACAAGTATCAAACAAACAAATCTGGCTCTGATACCACTGTTGGGTTTTGAGCATTCTAACACTTCCTAAGTGTACATGCAATCCTAATAAACCTTGGATCTATGTTTGTCTAAGATACATGCAAATAATTAATTTTCAAGGTTTATATCCTAGCTAGCACGGCATGGGGAACATGAATCAAATAAAGCTAGAAGAAATACTTACCTTGAAGTTGTAGTTGATTGCTTGGAGTTTTTGAGCCTAGCACCAATAGTGTGGATGCCTCAAGTGGAAATCACAAATCACCACAAACTTGGAACTTTGAGAGAATAGTCACTACTATCTTGAAATTTGCCCTCACCTCAACAAGTGTCAACTAGTGTTATTTCAAGAACCAAATCATCCTTTATATAGTGTGGAGGATTAGGGTTACATCCCTAAAATCCATGTCTCTTCATTTCCATGAGATCCATGGGTTAAATCTCCATGGAGTATCCATGGCCTTTTCCATGCAAGCCTAGCCCATTCTAAATAAGCTTTAGCCCACACTATATAAATATAGTTGCCAATACTTAATTAGTAATATCTTTGATCTCTAAATTAATCCTAGATTAATTATAGATCACTACTAATTAAATAATATGATCTTATATTAATATATTAGAACTTATAATATATTAATAAATCATAACTTGTACTATTCTCAAATATTATCCATAAATTGTTCGGGTGAAGTGCAACCCAAATGGACCATGCCGGGTCGGATCAAGTACATACCAAATATAGTTATGAACTTAGACACTATATCCAACAGAACTATTATCAAAATATATTTTTATATCGCTACACACTTTGCTCAACATGTTCCAAAGTGCTTAATGAACTTGTAAACAATTTTTCTAGTTATGACTTTTCTGTCCCTGTGTTTAGAAAAAATATAGAAAAATAATCGTAAGTCAAAAACTCAATCCGTAAACTCTGAGAGTTTAGAAATTGAGTATACTTTGTTCATAATTTTTATTATGATTTTTAGTGGTTTCAAACAAGTGTGAAAATTTCATCTTCACAGACTGTTCCGAAATCATTTCTGAAATGATAGGTAGTTTTTTAAAAATCACCAAAAATTATAGAAAAATCGTATGAACGTGTACAAGTAGTCATTAGAAATTTATAAACCTATACTATTTTCATATCGAACATTCTTGAAAAGTATTAAGTTTAAGATGGTCAAAACAGTTCGTGAACAAACGATAACTTTTTTGTTGAAGGCTGCTGTTTAAGTTTAGAATATGTTTTGGTGTTGTAACTTCTATCCCCCCTCCTGGCCCCTTAAAACTTGAAGAAAAAATTAAATCGTAGGGGTATGAACTCACCTTCTGTGATTTCTTGTGGTGGAAGGTTAAAGATGGGGAGTTTCAAGTCAAGAACACTTGAAAGATGCTTAAAGATTTGAAGATCCTAAAAACAAATATATAGATATTTGTGTAAATTATACGCTATTTCTATAAATATGTGAAGATTGTATACAAATTAAAGGAAAATACTTAAGAAAAATGTAGGAAATACAAAAGAACTTCGCGGAGAAATCGTGTTCTAGAGAGAGAGAGAGAGAGAGTTGGAAATATTGGATGAGCAGGAAAGGAAATCTCTTGGCTTTGTTTATAAGGGTTTGGTAATTGTAGATTTTTGGGAAAGGTTTTGAAAAAGCCAATGAATTGACTAGCTAGATGTGAATAGTGACATAAAGTAGACATAAAGTTGCCATGAGGGTGGTTGGCTTCATAACTTTATTATAAAAGTCAAAGAGATCTTTTATTTACTCTTGATATTATCCTAAGAAAAATATGATTTATATTAAATAAATCTTCAATATGGGGATAAAATATGAGTTTAGAGGCTCTAAGATATCAAAAATATGAATTTGGGTGAAAATCTCTCGTCAAAATCATAAAAAACTGACTCGTAATGCAAAACTGGCCAAAAACCGGAAAAAAGAGTGAACCTACGAAGGTTGTTGATCGTCCAAGGGGTTTGCAGGTTGCTAAGGTTTCGGTGGCAGGTGCTCTCGGTGCTAGAGTTGGAACTGGGTGCAAAAGTAGGTTTCGTTGCAAGCGTCGGACCCAAATATGAAGGTCAAAGCTGAGTGCGAGATTTAGAAGGTACATTGCGAACGTCGGTCCGATGCCTGCAAAACTCCTCGATTCGTTGCGAAAGGAAGGCTTGGTCTGAAGGTGGCTTCGTTGCGAGAGTTATCGCACCCTGAGAGAGTTTCATGACCTGATAGGGTTTCGGGACTGAGAGCGTTTAACATCCTAAGGGGGTTTTGTATCCAAGAGGTTGTTTTTCATACAAATTTCTGTTTCAAGTGGTTTTCAACTAGCTGAAGGGTCGGGATGGAACAGGTGTTTATAAAAAGTGAAAAGAGACTTTGAGAGAGATTTGGGAGAGATAGATATAGCAAGAGAGATTGAGATAGACCTTGTTTGTATCCTTTGTTAGTGGTTTTCCCCATAGTGCAAGGTTTGTAAACCTCATTATGCCTCGTTATGAGTGTTATACACCCTGAAGGGTATGTAATAGTGTTTTATCGAGTCGTACATCACTCACCCTATGAGGGCTTACATTTTTTTTGAATATTTAAAACTTCCGAGTGATACTTTGTATTAAGTTAAACAGTTGTACATTAGTAAACATAGAGTAAGCCCTAGCATACAAGTACTAGTTGAGTTGACCGGTTTGACTTTTTGACTTTGTTTACTTTTACTTGACCAGAAATGGATGGTTGTCACACAACATAATTTTAGGGAGTTTATAGGTTTTGTTGTTATGAAACATGTGTAGGTATTTTGGTTATTTTGTTTATCCTAAACTCACTTCGTTGAGTTTGTAGGTACTATCATTACTTCCATGGGTAGGTTCTTAGTAGTAGCCTAAGATAGTTAGATGTTGGTTGACCTAAACTCCCTTCCTCGAGTTTGTGTGTATTATCATTACTTGATTAGGGTAGTTCCTAGTAGTAGTTTCTGGTAGCTAGTTTTAGTTTGACAAAGTTATGATGAATTCCTATACTCGAGTTATAAGTGTTGATGCGAAAAATGCATGATGCTTTATCGGACGTTGATGTGTTAAGAAAGATATGCCTTGACTTGTCGTTGGGTTGTAGCTAGCAACTATAGGTGGGAGTGTTAATCACATATACATCTATACATATAGATCTACACATATATAAGCGTGTTGATGAATCGTGTCTCATCTAACTATTGTAGTGGGACCTAACTATTTTCGTGGGACCTCCACTTGTCGGTTGTGTTGTTATTTATATTGTATTTATATGATACTTACCTATCATATATATATATATATATATATATATATATATATATATATATATATATATATATATATATATATATATATATATATATATATTGGCGGTTTTGTGTAGCCGAGTATTTAGGCATAGAAACACTAGGTACTATGCTTATCGAAAGGGTGGCTAGAATAATGGGTTTTAGTGTTTCCTAGCCACTTTCCAGCATGACTACTAGGTATGATCTTATCTATAATAGTGCTTTATCATAACAATTAGGTATAATATTAGCTAACGATATTAGGTGGAGTACCACGAATAATATCATCCTATTGTTATGAACATAATTATCAAACTATAATTAGTAATAACAAGGGGAGACCTAGGGAGCCACAATAATAGTTTGATTTGCAAGGAGTAGGGTCCATCAGAAAAAGAAAAAAAAAAGAAGAAGAAAGAGAAACTTGTGTATGATGAATGGGAAATCAAGAAGAGGCGTAGTGTATAAATGCTTTATACCATGATAAGTTATGTGGAAACCAAATTATTAGGTATACACACACACACACACACACACACACATATATATATATATATATATATATATATATATATATATATATATATATATATGGTTACTGTCAAATATAAATCACAAATATTGTTTGAACGTGTGTGTAAGTCCCGATTTCGATGATCCAAACTAGTGATAAAAAAGATGGCAATCAATCAGAATAAGAATGGAGTAGAGGAAAGATTAAACCAAGCATGCACACCTTAATATCACAAAAAAATCAGGTACACCTTGTATATAAAAAAATAAATCACCCTAAAATTGACACATACACACTCTATTTATAGGACCACCAACTGTACACGCGTGTACAGCCGTACACCCATGTACGACCGTACACAGGGTGTACAGCCGTACACACGAGTCCGACTATATATAGGCACACAATAAGCTACAAACACCATTACAAAGCCCAAAATCCTACTAAGAGCTATACAAGATGGATGCCTAGCCCAAACCACTATATTAGGACCTATCAATCTCCCCCTTGGTTTGAGGCTAGCATATACTTGGTCTTCAATCTTTTGGTTTCTCGAACAGCCTTAGGTCAGCTTTTCCCATAGATCCCAGCCAAAGCCTATCCTTGATAATTGTGGCAACCATTCATGTAAATTCTTTTGCAGAAGCCTCTATGATCTCCCTCCTCCACACGATTTGATGACACGCCAAAGTGTGAATGTCTCTCTCTGTGAATCTCAAAATATCCTTAACACTAACGAGCCTGATAATTCCTTCTCTGTTTTTGAATTTTATGGCTGCAGTTGATGTTTCATCATCAATGGCCCAAAAATCCATATCATCAAGATATACATCATGAAAATGTTGTGGGATTGGAATCTCCTTCAATTGGTTTGTAGCTGGCTACAACGTTATCTTCATCAGTTTTTCAATTTCAAGATCTAAAATATCTTTGTCTTTTTTAACTAAAGCTTTCGCTGTCTTTATCATGGGGAAATTATCCCTGACATGTCTATCTAAAAACTGTTTGAAGTTGAAAGCACTAGGATTTTTTGAAGGATTGTGGAATGGAACCCTTGAGAGTTAAGAGAGATCAACTTTTGTCTAGGAGTTGAAGTCATGAATGCTTTTGTAGTACTCTGTATTTCAAGAATTTCTCTTAACCACCCACAGTTTAAGTTCATGATCATAGGCCCACATTTTGATCCCAGTATGATCACCAAATCGATCATCAATTTTCTCTTTTCAAGATCTATCACAGTGAGTTGAGGTTTATTTGCTTTACGATTCTCATTTGAGTTCTTCATGAAGACCAAACCTACTTTCTCCTCAGCTATGAATATTTTGTTTCCATGTTTAATTGTGATCCGGGGATTGGCATTAACATGATATTTCTCAAACAGATTGACAATTCTTGTTGTTCTTGGGGGTTGTTGATCAACATGAATTTTGCTTTCGAAAGGCTGGACGGGAGCAGTGGGAGGATCTTCAATACCATGAGGCCGTTGAAACAAGGACTGGAACTTATCACCAAAAGCTTCAAACAATTTGTTCTTCAAGTTGAAATAGAAAGAAGTCAAGGATCCAAGATTAGTTTGCGAATCAGAAATCTGTTTTGACTTCAATGCATTGTCTGCTTTAGGCTCAACGATCCTGACATCATGTTTCCCAATCAAAATGTCCTTCTTAATATTTTGCTGATTGAGAATGCCAATTTCTTCTTTGAGCTTGGACACAACAGGATCAACATCCCCTGAATGACCTTCCTCAATAGATATCCATTTTCCACTTGAGAAAGGTTCTGAACTATGCTGTGCCAAGTGCGTTGCTAGACTTATGGAGAATTCAGGTTCGTCGCTTATTTGCAAAGTTTTTCGAAGGATTTGTTCAGTAACCAAGACTTTCTTTCCTTGCACAGATGTTTCAAGATATTTTGTGCCCTTATCATCCTTTATGACAGTTGCAATGCTCCAAAACTCCTTAAACAATTGTTGATAGATGACCGGACTAGTGGTGAGAGCAGTGTACAAGCAGCATCTTCTTAAGCCACTGATTATGAATTGGAAATCAGAGTGAGCCTCTGGAGGATCAACTAGGTAAATGGCCAAGTTGTGAACTTTAGCAAATTCAAGACCTGTCATATTAATAACAAAACAAGCTATGTGAGAAAAACAAAAAAAATATTAATAAACATCCGGTGTTTTCCCGTTTGACAGTTAAATTAAGCTTTCAATGGAGAACATTTCATTTTTAGGGCAAAATTTGGATCTACGACTGTACACGGGATTCCGGCCGTACACGCCTCATTAGTGTCGAAAATCCGTTTTTCGTTCAATAAACCCTAAATTTTTGGTCGATTTTGCTCAAGAATAACATCACAAGGGTCGTTAATGAGTTACCTACACAACTGATTGGTTAATTTCAAGAAAATTGAGAGTTTTTAAGGCTTTAAGAGAGGGAGTTTGTCGAGTGTATGGCCGTACTCAGAAAGTGAGAAGAAGAATAAGAGTGTCTGGCATACACGAGTTATATACTCCCCCAAACCCGATTATGGGCTGCAACTCAACTTGCATTGAACTCAAGCCCAACATCACAATATAATTAAAAAAACATTTCAAGCACTTAAAATTAAGATAAAATAAAATAAAATAAGATAAAATAAACTAAAATAAAATACAATAAAATAAAATTGAAATTAAATTTCACTAATTTCTAATGCAGATAATATTTTTGTTAGATTGGGATCAAAGCTATTAGACAACCTTCATCAATTTGTCGGTACCTCCCTTTTCATGAATAAATCTGGTCGATTGATGGTATTGTATGATGGGTTTTATGCATAAAAAACAATCCTATGTGCTCATACAAACCCTAATGCTTGGATCTAGGTTTCTCTATTGTACATGCTTTGAATCCAAGACTAATAAACTTAGATCTAACATATTATAAACTGAATTAGGGTGTAGAGAATTACCTTGGATTGTTATATAACAATAACAATCAATTCCTTGCTTGAATTGGCTTCAAAAGCTTAGTGCCTCAAGTGCTGCACCTCTACTGGAGTCACAAACACCTTATGCAACTTGGATGAAGAGGAGATGAAAGGAGGTTGCAAAAAAACGACTAGAAACCCTAGAGAATCAGTTGTCACGTTTTTGGAGCCTAAGGGGTTCTTTATATATTTGTGTGGGCTGCTAGGGTTTCAGTCAAAACCCTAATGGACATCTTAAACTTTAAGCAGCCCATGGAACCTTCTGGATAAGGCCATGGACGAAAATATGATGGGCTTCCATCATAATTCCGTTCACCCCTTGATCCTTTAGCATTCCTTAGCCCAATAACTCAATTATCCAATAATTGCAGTCCAGTCCCCTAAGTTTAATAAATCTCTTATAGCCACAAAATTAATTAACAATTAATTCTTGACTAACATTAATTAAACAATATGATTTCTCCTTTAATATATTATTCTCATAATATATTAATAAATCATATTTAAGCCTTTCTCTCCTTAAATCATCCTACATATTGCTATGGTGAAGGCAACCCAAAAGGACCATGCTCATAATCGGGTCAAGTACATACCAAAATAGTTATGGACTTAGACACTAATCCAACAATCTCCCACTTGGATAAATCTAATAACTATTTTCCGTATGACTTCAGAACCTGATCAGCAATCGTGGCTTTCAAAAGCCGCTGTCAACTCTGATCTTATCAAATAGCGTGTCCTCTAGATAAGGGATTATATACTCCTCCATTCTCAAGATATCGTATAGACAAAAGACATGAATTTCAATCATTCTCTCTATACTGTTTCCCGACTTCCGATTTATGACGACTGATAACAGACTACAATTGAACACATCAACATAGTCCCAGCTTGGCCAAGCGCTTAGGTGTCATCATTAAATCATCGATAGGTCCACAGATATCGCTTTTATCCTACTTTGGGTAAAAGGAATGGATAAACTTCGACTCAAATGATCGCTTGCATTTATTCATTGAATCACACACAACAATAAGTTTTATAACACCAAGTTACTGGTGCGTTTACTTATTATCAATGTGCAACCGACCAACAAATAACAACTCACATGTCTCGGTTTCAAGAATATACAATATTATTGTCTCACTAATCACTCGTGATAAATCCATGAAGTGATCCAAGTGAGCGTGGGTTTAATCCAATACTCTAATCTTATCAAAGCACTCATGAACTCTGCAGCAAACTTGTGCCATGTCTAAACACTTCAGACAATCTACAGATGGATTCATGACAGTCTTTATTCATACCTACTCCTAACGTATGACCAACTGTGGATGTTTGAATAACCTAGTTATTCTGGAAGTCAAAACATGCAAACTGAAACATAACAATAATACTTAATCCTATATGGCCCCAAACTTGTGAGAGTAAATAAAACACTTCTATTTAACCACCATATTGATTACTCATTATTATCGTTTAATGTTTCGGATAGTCAACTCATTACTTGAATTACAACAACAATTGTCCCATGCTCTAAGCATGCACACCTTGTTTCCTATGATCCATGCTTTGTGAAATAGAACAATTGAAAACTTTTCCAACGATTCTCATTTCACAATTCCTCAATACCCATTGTTAGTGTAAGAACACAAGGTTCTTGCCACTACTAGATGTCACACCCCAAAACCGATAACGGCGGAATACGTTTCGGGGTGGATGATGTAGTGTACAGTATCATCACAATTGTATAATAGTAAAAGCAAGAAACATACAACCATTTCATTTACATAGTAAGTGTATTTACAAGTGTGTTTTGTAATGTTTGACAAACACCAAAAGTAAAAAAAAAATAAGAGATGGGTCTTGCATACTCCATCCTCTCCAAAAATGCTGCAGCTGTACCTGTCTATCTTTGACCTGAAGATACAAGTTATTTTGAAAAGAATATCAGCATAAAGCTGGTGAGTTCATAAGAGTTTAGTGTGAGTACTTGTATAAAAAGCATTAGAATCATTAGTATGAAAACTGAAGTTTGTAATCATAAGTAGTGGTAAAACCTAGAAAATCCTGTATTTCCCAGAACTGTATAGTAAATGAAAATCTTTAAGAAATATGTTGTTTCTCTCTTTGAAAGCCATTTATCATAGAAGTGTAATAGTGACTCACCATTAAGTAAGGAAATATAGCGAGTTATTCTTGGAGTACATAATAGTGGTGCATCATCCTTTAGTATTAGATAAATATTTGCTTCGGGATATTACTTCATCTTTCTTTTAGTATTTTAGTGCGGTTATAGTGTCTTTCTTGTATGTTACCAATAGTGTGAGTAATAGCGGACCCTCATGACCTTCCCAGTCATGTATAGTGTGGTAGAGTAAAGGCATCCCTGGGCCTGAGCGGCTCGGACTGAAGTTATCAGTCGGGATGTAATAGCGTCTGCCCCGTATAGATCTATACATATAGTGTCGTCTTCCTATCGGAAAACTTCGGGCGTAGTGTGTAGCGTATAGAGTATCTCGTAGTGGATTAATGAATTATTTCATGATTAGTACATTCTCTTGTATTATAGTGTAGTAATCCCCCTAGGCTTGGCCGTAAACTCTTGTGACACTCCAAAATGTATGATTAGGGCCTTATTTCACTTCCTTAAATTAATGGTATGTGTCTTGGACTAATAGGGAGAGATTAAACATCATAATTTGTGACATTTTTGGGGAGTTTACGGCCAAGACTTGTTCTTGGGCCGTAAACTCAAATAAATCCTTCAAGATGTATGTTTTAATGGTACAACATGGTCTCATACACCTTAGATATATCCTAGAAGGCCCTATAGTGAGTTTTGGGACAATTTGGCATGCACTTTTGGGGAGTTTACGGCCCAAGAACATCCTTGGCCGTAAACTCTTCATTTTGTATCCAAATGTGATGTTAAATGGTACAACACACTTCCAAAGGCCTTAGCTAAATTCCTTACAAGCACTAGAGTAGTTTAGGGACTTGTTTGACACAAATTTTTGGGTGTTTACGGCCCAAGCTTAAGCTAGGTCGTAAACTCCTCAATTTGCCCTCAAATGGAGTTGTTTGAAGCATTTAAGTGTTCCTCGGAGGCAAGTCCAATTTACCAAACATCATAGAAGAGTTTTTGGGGCTTTAAACATAGATTTATGGGGTCTTTGAGGTGTTTACGGCCTAAGCACAAGCTTGGGCCGTAAACTCCTTTTTACATGTCAAATCCTTGTGTTTTAGTGTCCAAACTCTTCTAGATACATGCCTTAATTAGTATACTAGCTTAAAATAAGGAAAAACTTGATCTTTGGCATGATTTTGGGGGTTTACGGCCTAAGGAGCTTCTTAGTCCGTAAACTCCTTTATGGTCCTTGATTTCTATGATTTTGGCCCGTAAATTCAATGAAGCATGACTAGATTAAGATAGAGGATGAGTACTTACGTTTGGAAGTCGGAAATTAGCGGATTCGGGGCCGATTTCGAGTCTAGAGAGAGAAGGTAGAGAGAGGAAGTGGGTGTGTGGTGAAAGAGTATTCAAATGTTGTGCACAACCATTTCATATGTCTCGGGTATTGCACCCGATACATGGCTACCCGATGTTTAAAGTTAACTGGGTTAAAACTTTTTACCCGGGTGAAGTGGTTGAAAAAGTAATACAACTCTATTAGGTTAAACTGGGTTAACACGTATGAGTTATATTGCTTATGATGAGATTAAGACATGCATATAATTAGATATTCGGATATTGACGATTCCAAATATTACATAAAATAACGTATGTTGACGCATTCCGTTAGTGAAAATAGGGTTTGTAACGGCAATATATTTGGGGTTGTCACATTATTCCCCCGTTAGGGGAATTTCGTCCCAAAATTTAGAATTCATACAGATAAGAATTACAATACTACTACGCGAAGAGATGGGGGTATTTGAGTTTCATTTGGTCTTCGCGTTCCCAGGTGTATTCCGGTCCTCGTTTGGCGTTCCACCGAACTTTCACAATTGGGATACGGCTTTGCTTCGTTCGTTTTACTTCTCGATCCATAATCTCCACGGGCTCTTCCACGAAGTTGAGGCTCTCATTGACCTCAATCTCTTCAAGGGGAATTACGAGTGTCTCGTCTGACAGGCATTTCTTCAGGT